TGAGTGCAGCTCAGCGGTAAACTGCCGCTGAGCGGCAGTTGCGGCTTCTCCTTTTGCACTTTTTTTATGTCTTTTCTGATTCCATCTCTATCCTTCTTCACTTCTTTCACCAAATTCACCTTAAAACCTGCATAAAACACTGAAATCAAGCATAAACCTGTCCAGCTCTCTTATTTCTAAAAATATAACCAAAAGTATGATTTCAAGCTAGTTTCTAAGTGTTAAAGGTTGCTTTTAGTATCAATTTTAAGCATGAAAATAACAGTTTTTCAACTGTTATCAATTTCCTGAAGGTCCACATGATACATCATTGTTGACGAGCTATGCTTATCATGTTGCTTTCACACTGAGGCAGGGCTAGATTAATACAGTAGTTGAATATTTTTTTTCTTGAATTTTTATCTTGATGAGTTGTTTGAAATTTATATGCAATTGTTTTCTCTAGGATCAAAGGGAGATCAAGTTGGTATCCCATGAAAAGAAATATAAACAAATTTGGAACATGTCATTTGTCTATTCAAAATTTTGTAATGAATTCATGTTTGATGTCTCTATGTGATATTTCTTAGGATTACACCGATAAGGGCTTGATATTGGTGTTCGTTGAGAGATGACATAAAAAGACAAACATTTTTCATATCCTTGTTATTGAGATGATTGTCACACTAGATGTCGTATTTGCGCGGCTACATATGCTTATAATGAGACAATTGTAACATCCCGATTTGGGATGCCATGAGTAAAGTATAAAACATTATTATTTGCTAAAAATTAAAATCTGATACCATTGCAGAAAAGTAAAGTAATAAAAATGTTAGTTTCTTTAACGCCTACTTGTTGCATGCACTATTTTTATGGATAAAAGAGACACCTTCATTTGTGTATCATACTTGTTGCTCTTCAAAGACTTGTAGTCATGTGACAGATATGCTTAAGAAGTTGTTGCACATGCCCACTTGTACGAGCTACTTGGAAATGCCAATTTTGTATAGACAAAACAATTAGTTTGATATTTGACTCTTTTATAGGTAGACATATATCTTACACTTTGATTTCCTTTATTATTTCATTATTGAAAAACCTTTAATTAATTATTTTTAGAGTTGGATATATGAGTATTTCTCTTGGATGGAAATGAGACATTTGTTGCCTAGTTATGATGAAGGTAGACCTCAGAATAAACATACATGTTTGTTGTTGTGTTTCCTAAATGCATAACTTGGTTTGTCTAGGCTTTTACAAAATATTTCTTATATGAAATGATCCAAGAGTCATTGACATATTCAAAGAATAAAAGTTATGAAATACAAGCATGATGAAGGCGATCAACACAATTAGTAAACATTGGTTCATGTTCACAGTCCATGACATTTTCCATATTTCCGTGACAACATCTCATGCCTCAAAAGAATTTACTAACATTTTGTACTTGGCTTGCACATTTTTCTGAATGTAGAAAAGACATAGGAGATGATAACATTCACGAAATATAATGTAAATGACATTCATCAAAGTTAGGTCTTTATCGCTAATAATGACCTATGAACTGCCCTTATGTGTCAAAAATAATCACTTTAGCCTTTCTATAGCCCAAGTGAAATTATTTTGTCGTTCACTTGATAAGAATACAAAGGCCATTGAGAAAGTCAACTCTATTGATGTGACCCCAACTATCTCAAGCAATGGTAATCGATATTTTTTTATTTTGTATGTGTTATTCATCAACAAAAAAATATTAAATTTATTGAACAATATGACTACATCAGGATGTGTCCAAAGAGGTCAATTACCTCCTTAAATTCATCGACACATATACTCTAATGGATGTATTTATCATGTTCTAACATCATCATCAGTTGTTGTAATTCATTTATCGAATCTCTCAATGATCGTTTGTAAGTATATCTTGCATTATATACTTGTTTGATTATTGTCACATTACAATCATTATTTTCTTTGAGAGTAAGGAGAATGTTTGCAGGCTTCACTTGACTTTTAGTCATATCAACAAGCAATAACTGTTCGGTATAATTTAACCTCCTAGCAAAGGGGTGACCAAGTAAAGTTTTTGTCAAATCATGGTTATGATATACACACATTACCTTCAATACACATCATTTTCCATTAGAAATTGGTTTACCTTTCAATTATACTCGCATTTTCTTATGTCGAATATACTAGGATGAACATCATGTTTGTATTTCTTGTACTTTCCACCTCTTTCACATTCTAACAACACTAACGTCTTTCTCCTAGGTTTAACATTAGTTTTATCATATCTTATAATGAAGACAACAAAACCAAGATCAAAAGCAATCTCTCGAACCCACTCAATTAACTCATCACATGTGGGAAAAATATGATCAATTGTAAAATTATTTGTATAATCTTCCTCACACATTTCATTGATAAAAGAAGAGAAATTTGACATAAAACTCGAATTTACTTGTGAATCCATCAAATTGAAAAGATAATCTTCCATTTTACAATATAACCACCTATAGCATAACAAAACCTTCATTGAACCTTACTTCTTCAGTAATAATAATAATTGGATATCAATAAATTGTTAAAACAAAACAAGTAAATCCAGTACATGCAAAATATAATAAAAATAAATATAAATTTAAAAGGAAATAAATATAAAATTTCAAACCAAATTTCACCAATAAAAAATGCTTATACCTAGAAGATGAATGGGATGAAATGAAGAAGACGAAGGAAAACCAGCTGAACTACGAAATTGTTAAAACGAAGAATAAATGCAAAGCACACCACCACACCAAAGAACATTAAAGAAACGAGAGAAGAAAAAATTGGTGAAGGTATGATTTGGGGGTGCATGCCTTCAACAGAGGACACAATTTTGGTAAACAATAATTACTGCTTACGTAATTTTTTTATTTTTTTTTTGTATATGTTTTTCTGAAAGTTATTCATGTCATCACACTAAAACCTGGAGCTGCACCAAAAACGCCTCTTCATTCCATCATTTGTTGGAGGACCTATTCATTCTTTATTTATTTATTTAGGATTGAAAGGACGTGGATAAAATATATCATCTTTTCAGTTTTAAATTTTTTTTGTTTTTGAATAATTTATTTCAATTTGTCCTAAAAAGTATTTAATTATAATTTTAATAATAATGTATTGAATCAATTAATAGTTACTTTTTAATATATTTTTTAAAATAAAGTTAGTGATGAAAAAACCATTAATAGTTGAAAAGTTATCTAGAATTTGATTTTAGAAGTGTGTTTTTTTATTTAAATTTATATATAGTTGACAATCATTGAGTTAATATTTATTTTCTATTAAATAATGTAATAACAAGACTTTGTATACTTATGGTTGGTCTGGAAAGTAGGTTGGAAAAACATTTTTTTTTCTTTTGCATTTCTCACGCTCCACAATTATTAAATGGCCACTCCTATATTGACTTCTCTTCTTCTTCTTTTTTAATTTTAGACTGTTTGTTAAAAGAAGAATATTACACTCTCAAAAATCACATTTTCAAATATATTATTCTCATGAACATCTTTAGTAAGTCTTTAGTAATATTTTTTTAAAAATATTAAACTTATTTAATCAGAAAATAATCATAGAACTATTGAAGAACAAAACGGGACCAAGTAATTAAAGTAGGAAGTGGCTTCCTCTCTACGAGAATGTAATAAACTTTCCTTTCGCCGTAGAAATGATAAAAAGAACAAACAAATAAATATTTTATATCTCTGAAAATCAACAATGTTGAAGTTTTTTTAAATTTTTTTATCGAATATAAGAACATAATATTCTCGAATTAAAAAATAATATGATTTCTTGAAATAAGCACAATTTAGGAACACAAATTAGGACAAAAAAGACATTTTCTTGAAAGTGAGAAACTATGAATTGTTATGTTTTAGTTTTGAGGAAAGAATATAAAGTAAGAATTGTTGGGGTGGCAGGTCTGGCTAAACCTTAGGAGTGGAGAAAATGATCAAAGGATTGAATCAATTTGGGAATGAATTAGAGTAATTACTACCTCCATTAAGGAAAAAAGCTCACGTTGTAAGGCAGAAACAAATTCTTAATGCCATAGATTACTTCATTTCCAATAAAAACATTTTCATTATTTTACCAATAGTTTCTTCTTTATTCACTTTCACTATTATACTATGTTCATCGCTTAATTTTCAGTGTTAGGCCAATCACATTAATACCGGTGGACATCAGACCAAAAAAAGTTACAGGCTGTAGCATTGGAAACAAGATCGCAAGAGATGTGAATAACAAGTGATGAAATGAACACAAAGATAAAGATAAATCTACGCTGTATAATTTCCATCAGATCCCAGTTTTGGCATAAAAGCAACGTAAGATCAGCAGCTCAAACTACCAAGGGCATTTGAGAACAGGCTTGTAATTCATTGGCATCAAGTACAAAATGATTAAGTCAAATTCAATCTATTCACTATAAGCCAATTACTTTCATGATGTACCATTAACTGTGGAATGAAATGGAATAAAACTAGGTTCCATTATTTGGGTAGTTTAGAATAAGATGGAATGAAACCTAATGGACTATTGAATTTCATTCCACTGCACTATTTATTCCATTTGATTTAATTTTACTCATCACTGGATATAAGGCAAATTCATTAGAAAACGATGTTTGCATTAGAAGTTTTGTGGCTATAAATACAGGAAAATAATTCGAAACCTACAAGTAATGCACAGGAAACAAAGGGCAAACAGTAATTTTTCTGAATGGGCACCATTGCCTTTAAATGCAGCAACTGGTCCTTCTATATTCTCCATATCAGTACCCAAATTAACCTCTACCTCGCCCTGCACCTACCACAAGAAGAAAAGTATTGGATGAGCTTCAATCACAGTATCTGTATTACTCGATATGTGTTGGATGGAAGGTAAAGACGAAGATGCAAATGAAAAAGTGGCCTTTAAGAAGACGCAAATTTAAACAATATTTCCGGAATAATTTTAAGAACAGGAAGGGAAGCCACTCTTCCCCTCAGATTTGAAAAAGTGATCAAAAACTACAACATGGATATTATATTTCAGAAATTCAAGTTATTTGACCTATAACCACTCTGAAATATGTAACCCAATCTACCAAATTCTTTTTCTATAAACATAAAAATAAAGAGGAATAAGACCTCCAAGCTCCTTCAATAATAATTTAGCTTTTACACTGAACAAAAACATGTTTGCTCCAACAGGAGATCATAGAAGTGAAAATAAAAGCACTAAAGCAAGAACACATTTCAAGGTGAATTTGAGAGATAGAAAATTATGAACGTAAAGAATGATATACCTCTGATTCCACCTGGCTTTCCACCTGGACCACCCCTGCCTCGACCTCCTCCTTGTCCTTTTGGTCCACCTTCTTCAAGGCCACGCCCAATTCCTTTTGCCCGTCCTCCAGGGCCATCATCCCTACCTCTTCCCCTTCCGCGTCCCACACCTGGGGGTTTGCGATCTGAAAAATCGATCACATCAATCAGAACTTTCTAGTTTTTTGTTAACTGAAAAAGGAATGGTACTTGCACAACCATAAATTGTTCACATTCACGAAATCATAACCACTGACCAATTTTTGAATTGTGTTTCGGAAGTTGATGAAATGAAATGGTTACTTGGTGGAAAAATAAAAGGTACAAGTGAAGAAAATTAATGTGTATTTGTAATACTTGTAATCGAAAAAGCCTTCACATTAATGATAAGCATACCGGCATGACTTTTTCTCAAACTCTCAGATCACCAAGCCAATTTAAATATCAACATGAACATACAAATAGTTTCAAAAATCAAGGCTTACCGGTACGGCTCTTTGTTTCTTCCTGGACTTTGTCAATAACCTAAATCAACAGGCAATGAAGCTAGATAAGTGGATAGATGTAAGCAAGCCTAAGAGCTTCAGACGTTCACTAACAAGTTCTTAACCTTATTCACTGAAAGAGCAAAAACAAAAAGCACTGAACCACCCGAACTTACCTCATCAGGAACCCGAAGGTACTTAATGGTATTACCACGAATGTAGCACTCAGGCATACGCCAAAATCTATCTCCATCCTAAGTTACCAATTCCAATGAAACATTGTAAGGTGCAACAACATAAACAATTGAGAAATTGATAACTGAAAATGAAAGGAAAGAGGGCTTTGAAAAGAAGAATACTTTAGATGTACAGATGACTTCTCTGAGATGGATGTTCATCCATGTATCACAATTTACCAAATGGCCGTTATAAGTCTCCCCATTTTTCAGTTCCACCAACTGTTACAATATGTCAGGAGTTACACATAAAACAGCATTAACACAAGTTTTTATAACCGTAAAAGTAAAGGATCAAATAAAACAAAGGGGTTTGACTCACCATTGGGTGGCCTTGGGCAGTCTTGAGAAGGGAAAGGGGCAGCTGCAACAAAGAGAAAACAGTGAGACAATGCAACCCTAATAGGAACCAATTGGGAATTGATCTCCATGATTACAGACTAGGGGGAGTTTAAACCTATTGAATTTTTAGGTTTTAGGTTAAAAATAATATATCGGAGTAAAAGGAATGAACTTGACGAGATCTAGATATCCAATCAATTACNCACTGAAAGAGCAAAAACAAAAAGCACTGAACCACCCGAACTTACCTCATCAGGAACCCGAAGGTACTTAATGGTATTACCACGAATGTAGCACTCAGGCATACGCCAAAATCTATCTCCATCCTAAGTTACCAATTCCAATGAAACATTGTAAGGTGCAACAACATAAACAATTGAGAAATTGATAACTGAAAATGAAAGGAAAGAGGGCTTTGAAAAGAAGAATACTTTAGATGTACAGATGACTTCTCTGAGATGGATGTTCATCCATGTATCACAATTTACCAAATGGCCGTTATAAGTCTCCCCATTTTTCAGTTCCACCAACTGTTACAATATGTCAGGAGTTACACATAAAACAGCATTAACACAAGTTTTTATAACCGTAAAAGTAAAGGATCAAATAAAACAAAGGGGTTTGACTCACCATTGGGTGGCCTTGGGCAGTCTTGAGAAGGGAAAGGGGCAGCTGCAACAAAGAGAAAACAGTGAGACAATGCAACCCTAATAGGAACCAATTGGGAATTGATCTCCATGATTACAGACTAGGGGGAGTTTAAACCTATTGAATTTTTAGGTTTTAGGTTAAAAATAATATATCGGAGTAAAAGGAATGAACTTGACGAGATCTAGATATCCAATCAATTACTACTGTTAGTGCTCACAGGAAAAACCTTTACGAGAGAAAATTACCATGGCGGAATCGGTAGTTGAAGGTGGTGGTGTCAGCCAGTGTTGCCTCGTCTCGTCACTCCTTTTGGTTGCTTTGCGTCAAAACTTTGAAACGGTGCTCTCTCTCTCTCTCTCACTCTTTTTTCTGTTCCTATTCAAACTTATGATACTCCACTCTTGTTTCGTTCATGACCAAGTTAATATATTTATACTCTCTCTTTTATTCTTATTTATTATTTTTATTATCTATTTTTGTCTTCTATCTTAAGGCACCAAATTTATTCATAAATATTGATTGAAAAATATACTGAGGATAATTATTGCAAATAGAAAGATATATTGATATTTTATTTTTTTATTTTTAACTAATGTAAGATATTGAAGATAAAATTTTTAAAGATAAATCTTAATAGTAAAATATAATTTATTCTGTTTTAGCTGTTTTTTTAAACCATGCTTAAAATTTTTATTGATTCTTTTTATATAAATGAAAATATGAAATGATACGTGCGTATGCGTGTTTTTTTTATTATAGATAATTAATTTAATTAAAAAATAACTGAATTCAAATAAATAATGATTAAAAGAATAAAATGATCAAACAAATTTTTTAATTTAAAAAATAATGAAATTTAAATTAACGGTCATTTAAAGAATATTTTTCTGAAATCTTTTTTTAGTAATGTAATATCACTCAACTAATCTATCAGATTTGATCAATTTTTAAAAATATTTTATAAATATTTTTTGTTGATATTTTGCAAATGTATAAAAAAATTTGAAAAATATATTTGAAAAAATGCAATTTAAAACCTAAATAGACACTCAAAGACAACAAATTGACAGTATGAAAAGCAACCTAGAGTGCAACAATGCAAAAAAGGAGCTTAAAACAAAGACTTAGAGACAAAATAAAACTAAACATAGACATACCAAAATTAATGCCATAAACAATAAAGAAAGAAAACAACTATTTACTAAATTGCATGATGGTTGAGTTTAATAAAGTTTACATATCCAATAAGAAAATTCATATTAGAAAGTATGTCAAAAAGTTTTCTATTCTTTGCATACATTACTCATTATTTTTCTTGTTTACCGACAATTTTGCTAATTTTTTATTTTAAAAAAATGTATGAAAAAAAGCTAATTAAAATACTCAAACAGAAATCATATTAAGCATAAATGGATATTAGATTATAAATAGATATTAAGCATAATGTAAATTGGGCTTTGTACATCATCAGTTTTTAGTGTTGACAATTTTATTCTCATGTCAACATTTAATCAACCAGTCAATAAATCTTAAACAAAAAAAAATTCACAAAACTCAAAGAAAAAAAATATCAAAAATGGTCATTGCGCAAGTATTTGTAAGTATGTTCGATATTTAAAAATAAAAATAAATTTTACAAACTTTATATATTATATTTTGGATTAGAATAATATATATATTATATATATATATATATATATATATGTTTGTGTTTTTATAAGTATTGTTTGTAATAATAATTGTATCTTTGATGTATAAATAAACAATTATATTTGTTTTGGACATTTATAACTTAGAAGACTTTGTTTATTTTTGAAGATAGATTTGAGGGAATGAGAATGAATAAATTTAAAGAGATAGAAAAGATAAAGTGAGGTTATTTGTTTGAGAGGATAGAAGGTTGAAAGTGAAGAAATTTAAAGAAAAAATATATGATATTTTTTTTCATTTTGTTGTTATGACACGTGGCAAAAGTTACCACTTTTTTAATTATATTATTTAGGTTTAATGTCATCATAAGTCCCTCTTTTTGTCCAAAATCTTAAATAGATCCATTTTCTTTTCGGCGTATCAATTGAGTCATATTTATTGTTAATTTGATTCAATTAGAGGTCTACCGTCAAATTCAGCAAACGGTCGTTTCATAGTTGGTAACGTGGCATACTCACTTAAATGTGTAATGACATGTGGCATTAAAATTGATTTTTGTTTTAAAAAAAAATTAAGGAGAGAGGTGATATCAGATGGAGAGAAGGGCCCAAAGGTGGAAAAAATTAAAATTATTGAGGTGGTTTTGTGCGTTTTGGCACGGAGCTTGGAGGGAAGTTGGAGAGCTTGGAAGAGCTCGTCAATGGCGATATGCGTAGCGAGAGCTTGAAGAGGAGGCTCCGGTCGGTGTGTTTTGGATTCCGGACAATGAGGATATGGTTGGAAAAATACAAATTTTAGGGTTTGTCACCTTTAATTGGGTGGAAAAATATTGGGGGAAAGGTTGTTATTATTACTGTTCATGTGAAGGGAAAAAATCGCGTTGTATGTTCGATTGCCCATTGCATATGCTTACTTTTTTGTTCTTCTGTCATTAATTAGATAAAAATCATTTTAATTTTTTTTTAAATGGTTATTTAATAAAATATTTGTGATATAAATTTCTTATTTTATTTTATCAATAATGGATATATATATATATATATATATATATATATATATATATATATATATATATATATATATATAAAATATAATTTTGATATTTGTGTGTTCCAATAATAGATTTTATTTGATAAATTAAATTTAATTCTCACTTTCTAATTTTATAAATTTTATTTATTCATTTTAAAACAATATTAAAAAGTATATAAGTTAGTTAATAAAATTTAAAATACTATAATAAAAAAATAAAATATAGACGTTGATGTGATTTTAAATCCATTGTCAAATATAGAGAATCTTCTTTATGTAACATCCCATAATCTCACACTTGATAATTCATAATTGATATATTGTAGTATTACATTTAAGGTAACATCCCATAATCTCACACTTTGATAATTCATAGTTCATATATATATATATATATATATATATATATATATATATATATATCTGTGTGTGTGTGTGTGTGTTTGTGTGTGTGTGTTTTAAACTCAGATTTTAACTATAAATTCATAAATATAACTCGAATTCTTCTAATTATTCTTAATCTCTTTCTTAATTGACACTGAATCAACGACATTCTTTCATCTGCTCCCGTATAACGAATTATCCGATCATCGCACATACAAAAAAAATACAAACAAGTAGGGTGAGCTAACATGCAACAAATCATGGATAAAACATGCATGATTACTTGATACATCAACAAACATATATAATTAATTATGCAGACACCATCATACCAATAATACAACAACGCACCATAGGATATTCATCCCCTACATACCACAATTCCTAATAGACATTCATCCCACAATACCCCCATAAACACTCATCTCACAATACTGAATAGACATTCATTCCACAATACCCAATAGACACTCATCTCACAATACCCAATAGACACTCATTCCACAATACCCAATAGACACTCATTCCACAATACCCAATAGACACTCATTCAGAATACCAATAGACATTATCCACAATACAAATAGACACTAATTCCAGAATAACCAATATACCACTCATTCCACGATATCCAATATACACTCATTCCACAATACCCAATAGACACACATTCCACAATACCTAATATACACTCATTCCACAATACCTAATAGACACTCATTTCCACAATACCCAATAGACACTCATTCCACAATACCCAATAGACACTCATTCCAGAATACCCAATAGACATTTATTCCACAATACCACAATAGACACTCATTCCAGAATACCCCAAATACACTCATTCCACGATATCCAATAGTACACTCATTCACAAGACCCAATATGTACACACATTCCACAATACCTAATATACACTCATTCCACAATACCTAATAGACACTCATTTGGATGATACGTTGATGAGCGGTCAAAGGAGGTTATGCACTTGTGATGACTTCTACTTCTTCTTACAAATACACTTCCAAAAATACTCAATACCATCCACAAGGTAGCCTAACACTATGTCCCAAATCGGAATGAGACCAGGACCTCCTGCCCCTTCTACACATAATCACCTTCTCTACTTGAGACTGGATGTTAGTTAGTATTCGGATACTCGTCCAACAACAGGACCCTCAACATAACATAACACAAACTACATATCATTACAAATCTCTCCACGAAGATTCATACATGCTTATTCCGTAACTCATATTATACCATTACAACAATCTCCCCAAATACTAGATCAGGATAACCTCCAACAAAGGACCCTCACATCAACATTATTACACGAATACCATATATTACATGAACTCTGCATGAAACTCATACCATGCTCAGATTCCTCAACTCATAAGTAACAAGTACAAATCGCCCCATAATACTCATATCAATGTCATATGCATAAATTCAAAATCCAATATAATAAAGAACAATCATCATAGAAATCATACAAAATGAATATTTTTATCACAAAAGATAAATAAAATACTAAAATATCACCATAAAATGGTCACCGGAAAGAATCAAATGTTTGAGAAAATCAAATCACCATAAACGCCAGTACATATGTAGTCAACACTACTGGATTTGACCAGGACTGTCTATGAGTCAGGGATGTACCAACTCCGGTTTTTAAGATCCCTATCCTACCAACACAATATAATTCATAATTCCATATGTACCACAATAACATGAATATCAGAATGTTTCAGTCCAACACATTCCAACAAGATATATTGCACAATAATTTAACAGTACATAATCTGTTCAACAAGATTTAAGTTAAAAGCTTGTCGAGTAGACTTCCAAGAAAGTGAGGTGTGTCACAATGGACAACTTAAGTACCAAGTTTTTCCTTAGCCAAAGTGTTCCCCAACTAGTTTTAACAATTTTCTTATTTACAGATTCAAAACAACAACATATAATATTAACACATAAATTCAATATAGATAGATATACAGTAAGCATTAACAGTATTCACACAAAATTTCAAGACATGAATAGTAATAAAACAATATTAAATCATAATATAAAAGCTTAGAAATGTTAGCTCCCCTAAAAATTTCTTCCTAACTCTTTCTTCTCTATTTCTCAAGATTTCTCACTTTTCTTGCTCTCCCTCTCATGGCTATTTATAGTCCAAAAATTTTACTATTTAACAATTTTTTAATATTATTTATTATTTTAATATTATTTTATTATATTAATATTTTAATCACCACTTGACATATTTGATCCCTCAATAATGCCGTGGAGTGCTTATCCACTATCAATCTTTAA